GAATATTAATTCCAGAAAATTTTTCTATTGATCAACCATTAATTAAAATAAATGCAACTGATTTGGATTATGATATAAATGGAACAATAAATTATTCTTTACAAATAAATTCTTCATGGCCATTTGAAATTAATTCTAAGACAGGTGAAATTTATTCTCGACAATTATTTGATTATGAATCAGAATTTAAAAATTATTTATTAATTATTGATCTTGAAGATCAAGGTTTTCCAAAAAAAAATAAAAATAAAAATGCTTGTCAATTAGAAATAAATATTCAAGATATAAATGATAATCGACCTGATTTAATTGATGATAAACAAACAAAAATTTTTATTGATCTACAAGAACCATTTAAAAATGAAATTGTTCTATTAAATGTTAAAGATTCCGATTCAGATGATAATGGAAAAATAAAATATACTTTACTAGCAGATGATAATAATTCTTTATTTATTATTTATCAAAATGGTAGTTTACAAATGGTACAACAAATTAATCAAATATCTTTATTTAAATTAAAAATTTTATTAGGTAGATATAAAATACTTTAATCAGTTTTCGAAATAATATTTATTTTATTTTAATTTTTATAGAAGATTACGGTATACCATCTCAACAAACAATAATTAATCTAATCATTGCTATTGGTGATTCATCAATACCATCATTTTCAACATTTGAAAAAGTTCAATTAAAATATTCTCGTCCAAGAACTATTGGTCTTATCTTAGGTTTAATAGTTTTAATAATAACATTTGGATTATTTTTATGTATAATTATTACTTGTATATTACTTCGAAAACATCGTCGACGACATCAAGCAGCTATTATAGCACGAAGTAAACTTTTATGTTCATCATCACAACAATTAACATCATCCGGTTCGACAGCAACAACAAATACAACATCATCATTATCAATTGAACATCAACAAATAGCAAGTATTATTCAAATAAAACCAACCTATCGGCATGAGAAATATTATGATCAACATTCATCACAGTCTTATACAGGTATATTTTTTATTCATTTTAAGAAATTTTTTAATTAGATTTAAAAATATTTAGTTGATACATCATCACCTGAATCTCGAACATATAGAATTCTTCATGTCCCTGAAGATAACGAATATTATATGCATTATTATCAACAAGAAAAAATAGATAATCATAGTTCTGATCATGGTTATCATGGAAGTAATGAAACAGGTTCATCATCATCATCTTCATCACATATATCAATGCGTCGTTCATATGTGGTTAATCAATTACCAGATTTTGTTACCAGATGTAAAAGTGTTAATGGAGGATTTCTTATTGAAATGAATGTTGATGGTAGTGATGAAGATGCAAGATAAAATTTAAATACTTTGTTTTGTATATTATATTGTTAAACTAATGATCTTATTTATTATTTCTGTGTTCTAAGAAATAAATAAAAATAATATTTTGTCAAATTAAAGAAAACATATTTATGCATTTATTTTTCGTTCTGATCTAGAATAATTCCATTCAGAGTTTTAAAAGAACAAGCAATGGATAGAAAAAACATACTCAAAAGAGAGAAAACAATACTCAAAAGAGAGAAAACATATAAGTTTAATTGAAATGTATGGCAAGGCTTTTTTCCCCTTGATAATATCACTATATAAAAAGACACTTTTTTCTCAGGGACTAAATCAAAAATAAAAAGATCTGACGTTGTCAAATTCTAGAGTACAATTTTGTCTTCAACTTAAATCAAGCGCGATCTTTCTCGCAGGTGAAATGGATGGGTGTTGGTGTGCTTGCCGTTATCGGAATGGATGTGTAACTGTGAGTGGCTAGGTGTGCTTGAGAGAATAGAAGATTCTTCCGCTTCTCACACACCGTCGAATACTGTCGACAATTTCAATCGAAAATGATCCATCACATGGATTTGTGAACTATGACATTTCAAGCGATAGTCTAGAGTGGTATCAATTGAAATCAGGTACTCAATTATTACTTTATACTGAAAGTTTTTCTTGATTTGAATGAAGAAAAAAATACGGATATAATTCATCACGAAATGTAATCAATTATTGACGAATACAATAAAGTTTACATGAATTGACTTATCTTGCCGATTTATTGAAATGATTATTCAGAACAAATCCCATCGGTCAACTGACATGATCTAGTTTGAATCCTAATTTATCATACTTACTACATGTTCTTTTTCAAAAGCTTGATTCTCAGTTATATAATCAACAATTATAAATCTCAACCTGTACGACATATAAAATTTTGTGTACTTGAAGTTACAAAGACTTATTTGACAAATCATATCCCTCCTTCCTTTCTTTGGGCGTTACATCTTTCTGTGGACTTACACAATTAATGAGTTATATTTATCCATAGTAGACATTATATGTTTTCTTTATTTTAGTGCAGATTATGTTGTATTATTTTCTTTTTGAAAGAAATTTTCTGGAAAAATGTGCCACACTCACAACCTGATCCTATGTCATTGTCTATGATTCGTAGAATTTTTTATCAGTGCTCAAACGATGGTACTGTCAGTGAAATTATCGGCGGTGGGCCTTGACCATTTAAATCATTGATAACATGACGTTTCATTTGATAATAATCTGGTGCAGTTGATCCATACGACTGAATTTGAGAATGTCCATTCGAATAAGATTTTCCTAGAACATGATACACTTGTCCAGCAATGATTTCACTTCTTTCCAAATAATAACGGTAAACAACTGTTCCATTTGTGTCATAAACTGACCATCGATACAATTTCATTATTAAATTGTCACCTGGATAAAATGGAACAGGAGAAAAGAATTCTGCTGCCTCGACGTGATATGAACCAATATCAAATATATCTCTAGCAAAACTATCTAAATTTGGTGGCCATAAATCACCTAAAGACTGTTTTAGCTCTTTCAGCTTTGATACGATGTGTTCAGCACGAACTCGATCTTGTTTCATTTGATCGTTATCATCAGCGTAAATATATAGTTGAATTAAAGCTCGTGTGCAATTATAGAACAATTCTTGGATAGCTTGTCTTAGTTCAGGAGTTGTAGTTGTAAATTTTTGTTGCCAATCTCGGCAAGCTTCGTCTATAGCACGTAAAATAAGTTCCTCGTCGATTGTAGCTGGCATTACTTTGCTACTTCAGTAATGGTAACTTTCGAAAACTTGACGAACTGAAAGTTAATAATCAAAGTATTAAAACGCTCGTCTCTTTTATACTAAATGTCGCGTAGACGTCCTTACGTAATTACATGCTTAGAAATTATAAATATTTCTTTATGAATGATATTCTTTGTTCCATCGGAAGTTATTTTTTTCTCTATATAATTGCATAATCGATGAATCATCTTTATGCATGAGAGACGTGGGATATATCATGAATGTGATGCTATACTCTATATTTTTCCTCTGAAAAACAATGAACACACACGCATACTCACACTAAAAATCAAACAGAGCGAGAGAAAAAGGTAAAAGTGAAGGATTGTCTTTCATCTTTGTCCTTTTCTTCATTTTTTCTTTTCTCTTTCTGGTCTTTAGTATACATGCGTTATCGTTCCTTTTCTGTTTCTTTCTTATATATATATGAGTGCGTAGTTGCATATATAGAAAAGGCCGAAACAAAAAATGTCGAAACAAAAAACGTCGGGAAAAATGGTTGAAAGAAAAAATATCGAACATATTAAAATGCTGAAAGGTTTGAAAATGATGTAAATAGACAATTTACCATAGAATTGTATTCTATTGGTATCTTGTGTAGCTTTATGATATTCTAGGTAACTGTTGATTATATAATGTGATTTTTAGAATAAGAGGAAAGATAACCATTGAAAAACAAAACAATCGTTCGAAGAATTAATTTTTTAAAATAGATAAATTAGTCAGTTTTTCTTATAGACTCACTAGTAATTTATGTGATGTCAAATACCAGTGATAATCCATATTTTCTTGTCTCTAACAACGGCACGCCTTTACTAGTATTAAATGCTATTGTCTTTAAAAAAACAAAGAAACTAAAAAGAAAAAGTATTGGGTATGTCAAGCAATTGGATGGGGTGTGTACGTGCACACCAGCATTCAAAATGTTGTCCTGACGATCACCGGCGAACACAGTCATCTACTACATCCATAAAATGTGAAATTAAAATGTTTTCGTACGAAGGTGAAGCAACGTGTTATGAAAGAAACAACTCCAATCGTAAAGCTTTATGAAGAGGAAGTTGTTACATCTCAGATGTCACCACAAACATTAGCAACTATGCCGTTAGCACGTGAATTACGTAAGGACAATATATCATTAACACCACTATTAATATATTATAAATTTCATTCTGGAACCCAGTTTTACATATGTTAGACAAAAAATGCCACCGATTTTACCTGATTCATCGATGTTTGATATAGCTGAACCTTATCAAACAACGTATAATAATGAATTATTTCTAGCTCGTGATATTTTGATTCGAAAACATAAACGAATGTTTGTGTTTTGTACTAAAACACAGCTAGAATTGTTGTTCGACAGCTCGGTAATAATGATGGATAGAAATTTCAGTGCAGCTCCTCCATTTTTTGATCAAATTTATGCAATATATGTCGTAAAATTTAATGCTAGTAATAAATATATTCTCTTGTGAACACAAGATTTTCTATTTCATTGTAGGTTCTCCATGTGTTTTTAGTATATTACCCAATCGTAAAAAATATACTTATTTAGAAATGTTTAAAGAGTTGAAAAACTTAGCTGCACAATTGAATCGTTCATTTCAACCCAGTCGTATTCTAACTGATTATGAACCTAGTATCATTGAAGCAATATCTATCGAAGTAATTATTGATTAATAGAATAGGTATAACTATTCTTTTCTATGTTTAGTTTCCTGATGCAATTCATAGTGGTTGTTATTTTCATCTGACACAGGCTGTTAACAAACGTGTATAAAATCTCAATTTGTCTACAAGCTATGCCGAAGATACTGATATTCGAACTTGTGTTCGAAAACTAATGACTTTAGCATTATTGCCATTGGACAAAGTTCAAATAACATTTGACGACTTACGTACAAATTCATCAGAGAATACCAGACAAATGTTGCATCAATTATTTTTATATTTTGACAATCATTGGATGAAAAGTATTCCATTAGCACTTTGGAATGCTCATGGATACAATCATCGTACTAATAGTATATGCCAAGGTAACTCTTCTTCTAAACTATTCCGATATTCTTCCAAATTCCTTGGTAGATTTTCATAATCGTCTGAATCAGTGCATTCAAAAATCACATCCAAATATTTGGTCTTTCATCAAGTGTCTCCAAGGTGAAGAAGCTCGATTTAGACACATGTTATTACGAATCAATGTTGGTGCTCAACGTCGGCGAAAAATAGTATCAACCAATGCAATACAACAACGTATTAATACTTTAAATGAATGTTATACAAATAATGAAATTGATCGTAATCAATTATTAGATGGGTTGTCATTAATTGTAGCAAAGTAAAACAAATAAACTTTAATAGCTAACATGCATTGTTAATGTCAGAATTGAAAGGGCTAATTCACAAAAAGTGTCAAAAGATGCCATGATAAATTTATAAAAGCAGTCATCCTTCCTTTCGCAAGTAATTGAAGTTTATTCTTAATAGTAATATATAGAGAACGAGCTAATATTATCTTAGCGATATCTTGAAATTTTATTTCGTCATGACGATTCTCTCTTTATCGACATCGTGTATTTGCTGTTGGAAAGTTGTACATCGCGTTTTAGATATTCTATTTCTATTGCAATTGCAAACAATAAAGGTATTTTTCACGTTGAAATTCCAGTTCTTATTGAAGAGGCAAGCTCGTGGGCGTCCTATAATGTTTCAAAGATGGGCACAAAAAAGTGTTTCTTTTGAAAGCGAGAGGTTCAAGTGAAGATGATTCTAAAATAGACGTTGATTTTAAAGTTGATAGTGTTGACGATAGAGATATTTTGGAAAAATTTGATTTAAATGATATTAGTGATCTTTTAGAACTTTGCCAACAACAAGAAAATTTAGAAAAAATTAGTTTATTACTATATATGATATTACGCTACTTGGGTATTAATTATTTGACGAAAAATTAATGATTTTATTGTCACAAATAGGTGGTATACGTTGCGCAACTGCGCATAAATCGGCAAAAAAATATTTTAACCGCCATCTAATCAAATTTAATATTAATAATCGAGCAGAGAAATGGTCTGGATTGCTGTATGATACTTTCTTAGAGATTGAAAATGAAACTAAACTGTTTGCAACTAATGAATGTCAAAAAACAACATCTGATTTTAAGGCAGCTGATTCACGTAATTTTATTGATGAAAAATTCTATAAAGTAATTGGTGTAGCAAGGATATTAACGATCCATATGTAAGATCTGAACGAAGTTGTTGACTTGATTTAAAGATATGGGAGCTAAATCTAAAAAATTCGCAAAGACCTTATTTTGAAGGCCATGAAAGAGACGATGTTGTTAATCATCAAAAAATGTTTATTAACTATTTCTTGTCCAGTAAAAGTCATTATTATTAACTAACTGATGATGAAACGTCAGCGTGAATGTCTCCAATTCGGCATCCTTCTATTTTAATGTGCCATGATGCATCAGCATTTCGTAGTGGTGAAGTATCGGCAAAACATTGGCTGATGAATGATAGAAGTGGGTATTTTTGGTAAAAGTCCAGGAAGAAATTACATAGTATCAGATGTTTTCATACAACATCCATCTGGTCCATTTTTTAGTTTAAATGATAAAATGGAATGAAGCTACTAAAAAGTATCCAACTTTAGATCAAATTAATGATGTACAATATGTTGAAAGATCAGTAACAGCTAGTATTAATATTGGAATAGACTATTATTTTGATAACAACACTATTCTTGAACAATTTGAACGACTTTTGTTCAAATGTTAGAGCTCAACAAAGAATTTCACAATCATGATATTGAAATAATTGTTGATAATGCACGGACTCATACTGCAGAAAGTCATAGTTTGAATGGCTTTGATAAGTCAGTCGGCACCAGATGATCGATAAAAACGATTACTTATTATGATGAAAATGGTTTCAAAAACTTATCGATTGTTATTTTAAAAATGATCCGCATATGGACAAGAGTAAAGAACTTCTTGAAATTGTGAATGAATTACATATGTCTATTCCAAGAGGATATAACTTGGGAGTATTCACTGTTCTCTTTCTCAACACAACGTATTTCACAATTGTAATTAGTAATGTTTTTCTCTTAGTACACTAGCAAAACTACGTCTTTTATTTTTATAGGTTTCAAAACTTAAAGAGTTAAGTAATAAATGCAAAATTAAGGCTATATTTGCATCGAAATATCACTGTGAATTAAATCCGATAGAAGAATTATGGTGTAATCAAAAACAGTTTGTACAATCACATACAGATAAAAAATTTAACACCATGATTCATCTGGTAGGTCAGTGACGAACACATTTTATCACAAAACAAATATAGAAAAAAATATTTCAACGATTTTGGAGATATCAATATGCTTAGCAATCAGGACAAAATTATTCTCAAACGTTATATTATTCTTTAGTCATTTATGTAAAGCAAATGTATTATCTCATCAAAAGATAACAAATACGAATTTAAATTGAATCAAAACTTTACCTTAGACCATTTTTAGTATTTTCACCTGTATTTTTGTATGCTATATCTTCACTATTTAATATGAACTTTCCTAACAATATGATGAAATCATCGAAATATATTTTAGAGAAACTTAATAATTGTTCCTTGCAGATGATTATTAGAACATGTTCAAATATTAATAGTGAAAAACATGTTGCTCAACTTTCGAGTTGCCGGCACCTTACAACAGCTCGTATACGACCTATAAAGCAAGGTATAATTCATACTTATAAAGCTCATTATCGTAGACTACGGATTGAACATGTTATCACAATTACGAACACCGCCTATTCAGTTGATGATATTGTCTGTTGGATCGACTGTGCTAAGAGACCCATCACAGCAACAACTTTATGAAATGCATTTAAAGAAACTAGATTTGAGATTTCTGTTGTTTCTCTAGACTCAGCTTCGAGAAAAACACTATTTACCAATGAAGATGTTACTTTACAAGAAAATAAATGCTCAGATAGATTTAATAAACTACGCGATCATTTAGCTATTGGTGGTAGCATCATATTAGCTAATAATTTTATGGTGAGTCTCTAATAATCGTTTTGAAATATATAAGGCTAAAGCCTTAATAACTTCATTCTTGACAGTTCTAGAGTGCGAGCTACGACTTACCAGTGTTCAACGAATAGAATGATACTAGTGAAAAGACTTTAGCAATTAATATTATTTCAATCGAAGATACACCTCATGTTGTATATTTAAGTGTTGAACAATTACTATCGTTGTTCGAGACACTTAAGATGGTTCGTTGGTTACACTTGGTGTCAACTATATGACATTCCGATTTATTTCCATTCGTTACACAACTACAATTAAAACTCGTCAATATCTATCTAGATTCAAATATATTCAAACAACAATTTATTCGAGACTTATTTAAACTTATCTAAGTAGCATCTTCAGATGAGGTTAGGACTTGATCTGATTAATGTGTGAAATATTTGAAATAATAAAAAGTTATTGAATAAAATAATATAATGTACTTTAAGGAAGGTAGAAGGTAATAAAACTAATGTTCTAGTTTATTTTTGCTTGACTTCCTCTAATACGATCGCCTTGTTATACTGAACAACTTTCGTCAGTTCCGACAGTATCCATATTAGAGAAGTTTTACTATAGTTAGTTAATTATTTAAAAGAGTCATAGAGACAGTTTGAACGAGGTGAGGTGCAGGTTAGGGTAGGGCTACTTGTTAGAGATGGACGTGAGTGAGTTAATTCTATTGAGTTCATTTGTATAGGTTTATTTCTTCTCAAGACCTTCGCAGTAGACCCTAAAAGTTCAGTCATGAATCACCTAGATGTCCGTGGCACATGGCCGGGTATTCCCAGGCTCATATACATGTCATCTGTCTATAAGTCTACCTCGTGAGTGCCAATAGAATAGTAATGGAATTCATTCGTATTTGAATAGTCATATCTTTTTCATTTGAGGTGATTCAATTGATAGAAATAAGAAAATCTAAACTATGCTGATGAGTCTGTTCAATAGAAAAGCGTTGCACTCGATGATTGAGACGATCGACGACATAGAGATGACCATGACGATCGAAGGACAAACTCCTGGGACTATTGAGCTGATTTGCTCCTGCTCCTGGACCATTTCCACCTACGATGACAGCGCCTTGCTTCGCTCCTTTAGGCCAACGCATAACACGATTATTTCCGGAGTCTGCCACATAGATAGTACCAAACGTATCGATGAACAGTCCATTAGGATACGACAATTGTGTCAGAGCATCTCCATTGCCTTGGCCCCCAGCGACAACAATCCCTTCTTTTGCACCCTTTTTCCATTTCATCACACGATGATTTTCGTTGTCCGATACGTAGACAGCTTGTTGTCGATCGACAAAAAGATAGGTTGGCTCTTTGAGTTGATTGAGACAATCACCGATACCATGACCACCGGCCACGATAGTTCCATTCTTGTCTCCAATTTGATATCGTCTTATTTCATGTTTGTTTTCGTCGGAGATATAGAGATATCTCTCATAATCCATGGCTAATCCGTAACAATCGATGTTCTCTAGGAGGATTTCTCCTTGACGAGTGTCACTACAACGAGACCATTGTACGACTCGTCGATTCCCTCGATCACATACAATGAGACTATTCGTCTCTTCGTCGATTAATACATCGGTTGGACTATTCAATTGATTCAATAGATTTCCTGAGCCTCGACCACCAGCTACCACTTGTCCATTCATATCACCCATCTCCCATTGGACGATTTGATGATTACACAAATCAGCGACGACTATTGTTTGATCATCATCAATAAAGAGACCGTGCGGACACTTGAGCTGAATGGTAGCATCATTCCATCGATGGCTCCCAGCAACGGTCACACCATACTGTGTCCATATGGCATTGGCTGGAATATTGGGCATTACTACAATGAACCAAAAAAAAGGAATCATCATCGTCGTCGAAGTGATCGCCCTCTGTCGTGGACGTGCGCTCCCAATGAAACCTTCTTCGTCGAAGAAACCTGCTTAACTTTCGAAAATATGTTTGAGAGTTTTCAGAGGGTGTTTCTGTAATATATTCAAGATAGAAAAAAGTTTTTTATGAAACCTCGAGACGTTCTTTCTGTGGATGTAAATTCATGAACCTTTATAGTTTCCTTTCAAAAAAATGATTTGGCACTGATCCTCACATCTATATCACTTCCCTAATTTCAATCACGCTCATTCGTTCAGAAATCTTGAAAGACTTTGTCAAGATCCTGTATTGAATCCTAGAATAATTCTTATTTGCAGAACTTCTCATAGGTAAATAGAATAATTG